TCAGTAAAAAATGAGACTGAATTTCACTACAGTAGAAATGGCATAATACAGATTACACCAGAAATTAAGCACTTGTTTTGTGCCTCCTTGCTGCCAAGTTCTTGTGCTTTGGTTTATGCATTCTGATGAGAATAAGCCACGGCCTCCTTTCAGGACAGTGGTTAAAAAGGGTATAATATACATTGAAGGACTTTATTCTTAAGCAGACTTTCCCGCTGTAAGATTGTCTGTACGTTTTCATTTGTGTAATGAACAACTTCATACGGATGGTTTGCTTCATTTGACAGCCCTGTGCTGAAACATGAGGAACAGCATGGTGCCTAGTGAAAGCTTAAATTGCTTGAACACTGGTGCAGTGTTCCACAGCAGCACAAGAAAATTCCTCTCTGACAGTTCTTCTAGGCAGCCACCTGTCTGCAGCTATTGCTGTGCCTCTGAATCTTTCAGCTGGAGACACAGCCAAGTCTTGTGATCTTTCTTGCCCACTCCAAATCAAAAGGAAATGTATTTGATGTGTAAGGTATGTAGTTCAAATTCACTATTAAGAAAAATATGTCTTATGAAAAAAATCATAGGCTAATTTTCTATTTCAGATGAAATTAGGATGTTATGTTAGGCAAGAACTTGGAGTAAGCCAGTAATCAAGGTAAGAATGTTTATGGAGGATCATGTGTAATCACCAGGATTTCAGCAGGATCACTGGGCTTGTGAAACAGTCACCATAAATGTTGAATCCTTAAAAAGGTGAAAGAGGAAGTTGGCTGCCAGAGGCTCAAGTAAATAATCCAGCATTCAACTTTTACCGTAGAACAGAAATTTGAGTAGGAGGCAAGACCTTAATCTAGTTCTGAGAGGCAATTAGGAAGTGATGGTGAAGGTACATGCTGTCAAGGCCAAAATGACTCTTAACTTAATGCACTTAATGGAGAAATCCATATCTTTTAATTGCAAAAGGTCATTTAAAATAACTCCAAGTCTAATCTTAAGAAGTGTAACTGAAGTTTTGGTGGAGCACCAAGAAATTATTCTACTAGTCTATCTTAATGAGTTTTATATGAGTTTTAATTTATTAATTTATACTAATAATCATGGTGATTTTTACCTAGAATGCGCAAGTATATTCTAATCTTAAAAGCCATTCAGAATCAAGTTATGAGGTGGAGGAAGACGAAGTCAGCCTGAGCTAAATTTGAGAGCCAGGGCAGAATCCTGTCATTCTGTGTTATTAGGCATGGGCACTGTTTGTACAAAAAACACCTTTGCCAAGGTGGACCCAAGTGTCACTGTGGTCATGCTGAACTTCAGAAGAGAGTAGCACAAGCAGAGCACTGCTTCTGGCAGATAAACTAAAGACAGACTGAACTTGGTCCAGAAGGACTTTCTGTCTTCTCTGAAGTTTGGAGATGAAAAGTTTGGATGAGAAAATGGGAAAATGTTTGGACTTGACTTTGTCACATCCTGAGTGGGGCAAGGTAAAATGTGTTCTCTGATTGCTGGGTTAACTACTGAGAGTAAAGGATCCCACCTCCTCACTTTATTGCTGCACCGTTTGTCCTGGAGACAGGGTCTCTTACCGGGGGAATTACGTTAAATAGGAATATATAATTCGATATTTGTATTACTCATATCACCCTTCAGTGCCTTGGGATCTCATTTTCACTCAGCTTCTTTTCCTGGAATCATATGTGAACATGGAGAACACTCAGCATGTTTTTCCTGAGGTTTAGGGATATGAGTGACATTCTTAGTCTGACATTTGTACCACATCACTTAGACGTGTTTAGCCATAGACTTAATGAGTCCTGATACGTCACCCTTGTATGGTGTGTGGACCTGAGAGGCGTACTGGAAAAGGCTTCAAAGAGGAAAAAAGAGGGACACAGGAGCAGGGCACTGGAAGACATCATCCATGATTCTAATTTACCTTACTGTTTAGATGGCAACGACAGAGCTTGCTTGCCCTGTGAGAAACTATTGCAGAATATGATAGTGACTTTTTCGGCATGGTGCTTGGAGCCACATGGAACACCCACCTGAGATATCCCTTTTCCTTACAGCACCAAAAATACAAAGTGCTTCTTCAGTACATGTAAATTCAGCTGCAAGATGATACACATTTTTAAGTCAAATGGGACAGAAGACACTCTCTTTAAATGAGCCCAATGGGACAGGAGAAACAGCTTCAATAGAGCCACAAAGCCATGGCAAGTTAATTAGTCAGGCAATTCTGAATTAGAAAATTAAAGCTCCAAGGCTTAAAAACCAATCAACAACCTCTTTAGAGAAAAAAAAAAAAAGACATACACTACAATTTTTTTTTTTTTTCATTTTGGTGTATGTGTTTTAACAATATTAGAAGGTGTCCATGGCACAATATGAAATTAAAAGTTGATACTCATTCAGGCTCAGCAAAGCATTCCTCAGAGAAATTTTGGTTATGAACTATTTGCCCACAAGAAATGGTGGAGTAGAGGTTTCTGGGCTTCCACTGACACCAGTAAGGCCAAACTCTTGGGTTTCCAGTTCTTGGCAGAACTGTATTAGGTTGTGCTTGTGTCCTTGCAGTAGATCTTTGAGCAGACATTTTGGTTCTATATGTTAGAGTTGCTGATCAGCACTGAAGGTTTAACATGACACCAGCTTTGACCACATGTAGTCACAGTTAAGGGAGGAAAAACTGACATCAATGAGAAATAATTTGTGATTTTGGTTTTTGCCTACAACAACAGTTTTTGCCTGCAACAACAAAATGCTTAATTTAGTTTCTAGCAGTGAATTTGGGAAAATAAATATAGCACATTCTTTTGCACGGAAATAATTTTCTTAGGATATTAAATAATTATATTTATATGGCTAGGCACAGTCAGGAGCATGGCTTAGCTATGCCTCTTTTCACACAGAAAAATATGTTCCAGACAGTTTGCCACCTAAACCTTCAATTTTGTAAATGGTATATTCAAGTGCACACAAGAATCTTCCAACACAAAAACTAGTTAACTATATTTTAATGTTTAATTAATTAACATAGTAGGTAAGGACAGAATTACAAAGCCAAGAAGTTGCACAAGATACGTAGATCAATCCTTTTAAGTCTAAATAGGATTTGAGAGGATATGTCCTCTATTGGCCAGTCAAGATTTAACAAGATCAGTATCCATCCCCCTTTGGTTCTACTACTTCACAGCTCCTTGTGAAGGTTTTTTGTACATCGGTGTGCCAGGGTGGGAAACACCATCACCCAAACCAAAATGCATTTATACAAAAATACTCTCTTCCTTTTCTCTCTGTCAAGAGTGTCTCTCACTAAGTATAAAACTAGGCCTAAAATAAAGAAAAGGTATTTCTAGATGTTAGATTAACTAGTAAGCCCAGGTAGATACTGACAGCTATCTGTTCATCCACAGTCCTCAGTGTGGAAACATGATCCTTGCTGACACTTTGAACTGGATGGTTAACAGGAGGAGGATGAGCTTTTGGAATTTAATAATTAGGATTCTGCTTCCAACTACATATTAACTGACCAACACAGGCTAACTACAATGTACAAAGTGCATAATCCTCCCTGCTGTTTGGAACAAAATAAAGTGAGGAAAGTTGGAATCATGCTTGTATACTGAACAAGCATTTAATACTGACATATACAATTTCATGATTTTAAACAGGTTGAAAACATTATATGCTAAAATTGACATTTTTGTGACAAAATTGACATACGTCCATATGTCTAAAAACCTTTTTGGAGCAATCAACACTTTCATGCCTTTAACCAACATAATTAAACAATGGTAATTAAAACTACAGACTTTGCACCAGATACTGGACTAAGTTTATCTTGTGATTTCTCCCCCGGTGTCTGTGGCAGCAATAATCACACTCAGTACAGGATGCATTGCAAACCTCTCCAGATGAAACCCGAGAGGCTGTTCTGTGACAGCCACACTTAGTGTGATTGAGATGTCTGTACACCCAACATTAAGCTTCTTAGGCTTATAAGCCAAAGCTTTTCCAGCCCCAAAGCCACAAATCCTTATCACTTTGTTTCACACCCTTTCTTCCTTTATTGTCTCCAACAGTGGTGGAAACAGTAAGTTACAGCTGAGACATTGTGTGGATTTTTGAGGGGCCATTAATCACCTTGTTCCAGATTCGAACCTAAAGTCTTAATCACCATTTCCAAAAGCACTGAAGCAAAGCACTAAATTCATTCATGATGAGTTAGATTTTTCTGACTGCAAGTAGAGTGTGAGCACGTCTGTTGCCATGTCAGTCTTCAGTACTCACTTCTTCCTTGCTGAGTAATACTCACATAGGAAATTCTGATGGACTACAAAACAGCCTTCTGTGAAGTCAGATTGGTTACATACTCCTGTGCTATTACAAAAACACAAGAAATTCAGTTGGCTATCACAAGTAGAAAAGGTTCAGTATATTTGGAAGGGGCAATCTGATCCTGCCATGGAGTAATTAGTTTACAGTTAGTAGGTGCTGATGCCACTTTTTAGCATCCCTCCTCTTTGAAACAAAATAAAGCATAATTTCTTTGTATTAACTCCATAAAGACTCAGTGAGAGACCTGTGGATACCTCTGTGGAACAGTTACAACTCTGCTTTATTACTTTTCACTTGCAAAGAGATTTTCTTCTGTTACAGTAATTTACAAGGTCAGACCATTTGACATACCTGGCTGATCAATCTTCTGTTCTGTTGGCAAGGAGAGAACGTAAATCAGTGCTAGTTCTGTGGGGGTAACACAGGCAACAGAAATATTGACAAAAACATATAGTCATGACTTCAGAAGATTTTCCCATAAAACTGGATGAGAGAGATAACAAAACTTGGATCTAAGTCAACTGAGATGTCTCATGTTGGTAGAAATCTCCTTGATAGGGATAGATTGACTAAGGAAAAAACAGCAGAACAAGAAGGTGGATGTCAGAGTAAAAGAGCAGGATCCTCTGTTTTTCCAAAGAGATTTTTCTTTTGCCCTGTGTTTTTGTTTCTCCTGAAGATTCTGGTATACTGTAAGTGTTTCAGCTTGGGAAGGAGTTATTAAGAAACAATTTCCTAGACTGGATAAAACCAAGAAAAATTACTGAAGTTAAACCATATTAAAATTTAGAAGTTATCTTATGGACATAACAGCAACAGTGAATTCTGGTATACACATCCTGCTCTGGAGACTGGAAAACAAACAAACAAACAAACAACTCAGAAAAAAGTAAGCATTCTTGTGCACCTTGTGACTGATAGGTTCAATTCCATTTCAGGTTTCCAGTGCACAGATAGACACTGAAATGAAATACCCCACATACAAAGGATTGCTACAAGTATGTGTTAACAATTAAATATCACAATCTTCCGCAAAGATCACAAAATCTTTTCAGGTTTTGTAGGAAAGTCCAATAGATTTGGTTAATTCTTCCTTTTTTTTTTTTTTTGGAATCTTATACTCCTCAGGTATCTCTTAACCAGCTCTCACTTTTGTGTGTGCCATCCTCCCCTCTTCCCATTTCTCCTGTTTAAAATAAGGTTTACTAGATGTTGCCCTTTGGAAATAAAGAAACTGTCCCCGATGTATTTCGAGAGCTTGCTGCCTCTGCCCTGCTTGCCCTGAGCGGCACAAATGTTCCTTTTTAACTCATAAAATCACGGAATACACTGAGTTGGAAGGGACCCACAACTCTTGCCCTTTGGATGCCTAATTACTACGAAACCCTTAAGTACCTCCTCACCCTCACTGGATGCCCTAAAGGCTGAACCCAATGCCACCCTGCTCCCTTCCCACCTTTGCCTTTACCTTGTCGGGTCGGTCTCCCTTTGTTCCCGGGCTTCAAAGGCCCGGCACACCTGTCTGAGGCACCTACGAGCGCCTCCCTCACCAGCCCGCCCCTTCGCCGCTGGAGCCGCGGGTTACTGCGTCCCTCCCCGCCGCCGGCCGCCGCTCAGATGGGGACAGGTGCAGCCTGTTCTCCCGACTCCGAGGGGACCGAACACCTGCGACTGCCGTGGGATGCGATCCCCGAATCCCTGCCCCGGCCCCCATCCCGCCCCAGGATCGCTCCCGGACCCGTTCGAACGGCCGCCGCCAGCCCGCGCCTGCGCACTGCGCGCCCCGCGGGAGCCCAGGACGAGGCGAGGCGGCGAGGCGAGACGAAAAAACTACTCGCCCCGTCATGCCCCGCGCGGTTCGCTCCCCACGGCCGGACCGAGCGCGGCTCTCGCGGGGCACGCCGGGAGCTGTAGTTCCGCGGCGCTGGGTATTGTCTCTCCCCTTTCTCTGTCCGGGAACCCGACCGCCACCCCGCCGGGCGGGCGCCGTGACTGACAGCGCCGGGCAGCCAGTGGCCGCCGCGCCCTCGGGCCGAGCCCGGCGCCGTCTCCCCGGTGACCGGCGGAGCCGCTGCCTCGGCGGAGCAGCCACTGCCCTGGGGGACGGAGGTGAGTGTGTCCGAGCGGGGCAGCGCCCACCGCTGCCCGCCCGGCTCTCCCATCCCCCGCACCGCCGAGCGCCCGGCCCGGGACCCCGCCGGGGTGCGGCGGGAGGAGCGGGGGCGGCAGATGGGAGGCGGGAGGGGGCCCAGGGGGAAGGGAGCGCGGCGGCGGGGGCCGAGGGGAGGGAGGGGAGAAAAGGCAGCCCCTGTGCGCGCCCCTCGGGCTGCGGCGCTGCCCGCGACCCCCGGCGCGCAGCGCGGAGGGGCGGGCGGTCGGTCGGTCGGTCGGTCCGCCCGCGGGAAGGGGGGGGGTTCACGGGCGCTCCCTGAACTCCCGTCTTTTACCGCTTGATTTTTCAAACCGTCCCTGCGGGCTCAGGTGCCGCTTTCTCCCCTCCCCGCAGCTCCACCCCCGCCGGGAAGCGGCTGCCCCGGTTAATGTGTAACCCCGCGGAGCGCTGCTCGGGGAGCGGACTCGCCGCCGGCTCCCCGCAGAGTCCCGGGTCTCCCACTCGGTGCCCGCGGGATGCCCCCGGTGCCCGTGGGATGCACCCAGACGCCGCCAGGAGCCGGGGCTCGCGGGAGCGAGGCTTTGGGAGCTGCGGCGCATCCAGCCGTGCCCCTCTTGCCTTCGCCCCGGCAGAGCGCCCCGAGCCCTTCCCGGCCGCTCTTGTCCCTGAGCGGATCCCGCCCCAAGCGCTGCCCTTTCTTTGCGCGGCGCCCCAACAGTTCTGGAACGTGTTTGCAAGAAAAGAAGGGGAAAAAAAAAATGCCTGACTGGCAAAAAATACCTTTTCAGCTTCTTAAATGCAACAAATGAAACTCAGCTGTAAGCGCGCGACTGTCTACATAATAGCTTTATTGAAAACTTTGTCCTTAGTCGTATGGCTCTTGTCAGACAAAACAGCAAATCTCCTATTTATGTTCCTTACACTTCATACATTGACTTTGGTGTGAGAAAAGTTTTTATTAACAACTACTTTTACTCATTACAGTCAGTGTTTTTTGAAAGATCACGCTCGGTACAACTAATTGTTTTCTAGCAAAGCCGTTGCTGCTGATACAGGAAACACAATGGTGTGTTTTGCCAATTCTGAAATGCTGATAAGATTTTATTTATTAAAATATTGTCCTGCCGAGTTCTCAAACAACTGGTAGCTGTCTTCTACAGGCTGTGCTGTTACATTTCTCGTGTAACTTGTCTATAAACATGTTCCACATTTGAATAGTTAGTGGAATTCAAATTTTATAGCTTCATTTGGGCTTTGTAGTGACTTGGCATCATTTGTGAAAGTCAGTTCACGATGCCTTAAGATGCTTTAAAGAGTGGCATCCATGATGAATAGTGTTTTGCATTACTTCAAGACGTGTGTGAGGGATGAGGGAACAGTCCTTCTCCTCTATGCACTTCCACTTTGCATACTTTATCCTCTTACAGTCCCACTATTGAAAAACAAAATTAAGCCAGACAGTTCTTTGCTGTGTCTCTGCACATTAGTATGGATCCTGTAGTGCTGACTATGAGCTCTTTTGCAAAGCCTTTTGGAAAGGAACTGGTGGTCAGTCAGGTAGTCTTAAACTTCACATGTTCCCTCGCTGCCCTCTGTAACTGTGAAGGTTATAGTTTAACATCGACTGTAACAGCAGCGTGCCTTCTGTTTCTGTTCTTTTTGTTGCTATGAGATAACAAGAGCAGAAGCAGGAAACAAACCGCCTCTCCCCCTTGAAAGTAAGCAAATAAGTGTTATTTTCTTTGGAGTGGAGGGTTTGAAAATGACATGAAAAGCTAGCCACGGATATGTAACAACATTACGTACAGAAATGCAGTGTTTGTGGGCTAAAGTACAATCCAACTGTAACTGGTATTTTTGTTGGTTTATACCCCACAAATAATTACTTCAAATGGTAGACCAGAATGTGTGCTGGCAGAAAACTCAGATGTTTCATTTTGTTTTGCAGTTCTGTGACAAAGCTGATGGATATGGGCAAATGATGTTATTTCATATACATGTATATAATAGTGTTTTTGTCTGAGATGTTCTGGGAAATATTTTGTAGTTATAAAACTAAAAGCTTTATCTCAGTGCAAGTAAAAAGATGTCTGTTTCCCTACATTTGTACTTTGTTTCACGTTGGAGATACTACATGTTTTGTAATTTATTACAGGAAAAGGTTTTTCAGATGTATGATTACTTTGAAACTGTGGAAGTTTGTGCCACTTCTGTGCCATATCTCTTTAGCTCCAGGTTTCAAATCTGCAAAGTAATTAGAAGAAAACGTGGGCAATTAGCTAACTTAGTTTTGAACTAGTTTGTTAACAGTTTGTCACTCAACAAATCTCTAGAGTCTCTCTGCTTATGAGAAACACTATTTTCGTAGCTTTTCCATTTGCCTGTCACACCATTTTTGAGGAGAAACATACTTGAATGCTGAAGGTTCTTGTAGAAAGAAGATTCTTGTAGACCTCCTTTGTCTTGAGGTTTCCTGGGTAGATTTAGTGAGCTGTTCTTTGGCACAAAAAATGCACAGTATTATTCAGGTACTGAGGGAGGGGAGGGAAGTGCCTCACTCTTCCCGTGAGGTAACACAGGTCTTTTTGTTTGGTTTTTGTTTTGATTTGGGTTTTGTTTGTTTTTGTTTTGTTTGTTTTGTTTTTATTTTAGTGGATATAGTCATTAATAGCAAAACCCCTTTAATGTTCCATTACTTCCTAACTTTAAACTCACAAAAGTACATAAACATATTAATAGGTGGAAGACTTCACACCTCTAGAACATCATTATTAGATAAAAGTAATATACTAGCAGCCTGCTGTTTTTTATAATTGTCAGGTTTTTGAATGACATTCCATTATCAGTGGTTATCATCTGACATAAATGCTTGATGTGTAAGGAGCATAGGTTAGGAAGGCAAACAGGTAAGTTGACTTGTGAATAGAATTAAAAGGAACCCTCTCTTAGCAAATGTGTAATTGTGAGTTAAGACAGCATTGGGGTTTGCATCTTCCCAAGAGCACCCTAAATACATTTTCATTGCATGTTTTTTTATAGTGGCATTTAGGGTATTTTTTTATAGAATAGAAAGATAGCTGGAAAGATCTGTTTGGTTTTTTTAAACAGCCACTTCAACAGTACAATATTGAATCTTAATTTTTTTTAGTAACAACTGCTTTTTATTATATCTTTAGAATGAGATTATTTATAATCTCATAGTCTTTTAATTGTTTCCTCTCCTCCTGCAAGCTAGTAGTGCAATTTTAGGTGCCAGATACTACAGGGCATTATGTTAGGTTAGCAGCAGAGTTTTGGAGGGTACCCAGGGGACACATTAGGCTATTCTCCAGACAGTTGAGAACAGAAATATTCACTGTAAGGCAAACTAAAACATACATATATTCATGATCCTAGACAGTAGGTATTTATTTACTGATAGACATTTATTGGTTAATTTTTTTTTGGTTGGAGAACTCTCTCTTGAAATGTTTAATAATTATTCCCGAAAAGTACCAGATAGCTGAATGCACAGTGATATCCTAGTTCCCAAGTTTAGCCTCATCAGGAAAGGGTCAAAGTGTGTTTAAAGCATGAGAATGGATGCAAGTTGAAGGGGTCTCTTACAGAAATGTAAGAGTTAAGTTTGGTTAAATGTTTGCAAAGCATTTCTTGTGTTAGGATTTCCATTCAAAGGTTAAGTGTGAAGTTTCATTACTTCTTACAGTTAAGGGTTGTTTTTTTTGTCTTAAATTGTAGGAAAACTGTTGTTAATGAAGCAAGATAATTGCTATATTAGAACAATTTGCGAAAACTGTATTAGGTTGAATAGTCACAGCTGCACTGTGGAGACAAAAACCTGATGTCCCTTTGTTAAAAAAATTACACACTAAACCCCAAAAATAAAGCCAACTGGATGTCTTCTAATATCTTGAAGGCTGTCCTCTTCTGGGTTTAAAAGGATCCTAAGGAAATTACATCCTGTAGTAGAATATTTAGTGGAATATTCAAGAAACGAGAGTGGTTTTTTAAACTTGGTAATCGAAGAACTCATATGTAGTTAAGTAGTGAAGACTTTGATCCTAAATTTTATTTTATTTTTGGTTTGGCCTTTAATTGGTGAAACTTTTGAAATAATTGCCCTTCTATTTGTTCTAACCCAGGCAAAATACTGTGAAAGTAGTGTGCTGTGGATTGAATCACTTTCTGAGTGTGGGGGTTTTTGTTACTTCTGTAGCTGAGAACAATGTCAGAAGGATTTCTTGGTCATTTTATTTCCATGCAAGTAGTGGGTGGGACACCACTAATTTATCACTTTAGGTGTGATAAAAAAATGTGTTGTCTTTGTGTGTATGTGTATATATATGTGTATGTGTGTTTATTTATCTAAAATGTTGCCTGCATTTTGCCCACATATGCAAGATACTTCCTTTCAAATACCTTACACAGTTTAAGTATGTTACAGTGTGACTGAGTTATGAATAAGCCTGTGGACCAAGTCAGAGCAGTAATTATTTTCAGATTAGTTCTCACTTGCTCAGATGGAGTTTATTGTGATTTTTTGTAGCTGTAGTCCTATGGTTATTTCTGTCAGTCATCCCTTCAGATCTATGGAAGTGAGAGTTCATATCATACAACAAGGGGATAGTTTCAAAAGTTGAACAAGTTGTCATTTTTCTTATTTAAGACATTTTTATGCATTTTAACCTGCTTAGTGGAGGAAATCTTTCTAAAACAATGGAATTTACCCGGATTATATTTAGAACAAGACATCCAGACTTCAGTGTCAACACCAAAATGTAATGAAATCTACTATTTCTTGCTGTTCATATAAGGCTGCTTTATATTAATTGTAAAGTCATGACTAGATTAATACTGGCAGCATGTGGGGTTCCTTCTTTCTTACTCTTGTTTTTTTTTTTTCTTTGCATTTTTAAGCTAAACTGAAACACATGGATGTTGGAATGACTGATTGAAATGCATTTTTACAGTGTTTGCTTTCTGACAAATTGGTTTTGAATAGATTAATTGGTTGGTGTAACAGCAAATCTGATCTTGGATCCTTTGGTCTGATCCATGACTGAATGCCCATTTGCTGTTGCACATGTAGCTGAAATGTGTGTAAGAATGTTGAAGTTTTAGGTACTTACTTTAAGCTACCTTTACAGTCAAGCACTGGAGAGATACAGGCAACTCTAGGGGGAATTAATCTGTTTTACATGGACACATGTGGTACCTGTTTCTGTACATTGGACGTTAAGGGGGTGAGGTGTAGCTGAGTAGATAGACACGAGCTCCCATTTTGATGTTGCTGGGAAAGGATAGATGAGCTTCATTCAGGATTTTCAGAGTGCTGTAAAATGCAGTGGTATTGCAATGGTGCAGTAAGCCAGGAGTTAACTGAATAATAGATAATGTGGGGACACTGGGGAAGACATAACATGCTGTAGTAGAAAAACACTGACTGGACATCAAAAGATGTTCTTTGGCATTCAGTCACTTTGTCATTTTGGACAGCCACTTTATTTGCATTTGCTACTCCTTTCTCATGAGTAAAATTAAGACTGTGGTACCTGTTCTTTTCAAGTTGTTTTGAAGGTTTTGTTAATTCTCTAGCAATAGGTTTTGGTAGAGTTCACTAGTAATATTTCTGAACAGTAAAGGGAATGCTGGATACTAAAACCCCTGAGATGTGATTGCGAATTAAAATGTCTTTTTTTCTTTCTTTCTTTAGGACTTCATCAGGTGAAGGAGTGATACTCTTGAAACATGACAAAAAGCTGGACTAAATAAAAGTTTTCCTATTGCAGGAATAAAATCCAAAATGTATAGGCCGGGGGAAACGGTCAAACGTCGACTCAACATGCATGCTCCTCCACGGATAAGGAGTGTGGAAGTTGCTAGAGGAAGAGCAGGTTATGGGTTTACCCTTTCTGGACAAGCTCCTTGTGTTCTTAGTTGTGTGATGAAAGGAAGCCCTGCAGATTATGTTGGACTTAAAGCAGGAGATCAGATATATGCAGTTAATGAAATTAATGTGAAGAAAGCCTCTCATGAAGATGTAGTGAAGCTTATAGGAAAATGTTCTGGAGTCCTGCACATGGTCATTGCTGAAGGGATTAGTCATCTGGATTCATGTTCGAGTGATGAAGAAGTTGGTTTTTATGATGGGAAGGGGTGGCTGAAACCCAAACCTGACTCTAAAGCTCTGGGTATAAACAGAGCAGAGAAGGTTGTTGAAGAAATGCAGTCTGGTGGCATCTTCAACATGATCTTTGAGAATCCTTCTCTTTGTGCTGGTAACTCAGATAATTCTGCACCAAAACAAAGATCATTTTCAGTTTCTGCTGCTATGAAATTCGAAACTGGCAATGAAAGTGTAAGCAATCCAAACTTAATGTCAAAGGAAGAAATAGCCAAAGTCCTGAACGATGATTCAGTTTTTAGACTTGGACTGGAGGGCGCAGAAGACTTTGGATTAGACGCAAGCATTTTAAATGTTGCCATGATCGTAGGTTACCTGGGCTCAATCGAACTTCCTTCAACAACCTCGAATTTGGAAAACGAGAGTTTGCAGGCTATCCGTGGATGCATGAGACGTCTGCGGGCGGAACAGAAAATCCATTCCCTGGTGATGATGAAGATAATGCATGACTGTATCCAGCTCTGCAGTGACAAATCGGGTGTTGTGGCAGAATATCCTGCAGAGAAACTGGCATTCAGCGCTGTTTGCCCAGATGATAGAAGATTCTTTGGACTAGTTACAATGCAGACAAACGATGATGCAAGCTTGGCGCAGGAAGATGAAGGAGTTCTGAGGACATCTTGCCATGTTTTTATGGTGGATCCTGAATTATTTCATCATAAAATTCACCAGGGTATAGCAAGACGTTTCGGACTGGAATGTACAGCGGATCCAGATACAAATGGCTGTCTAGAGTTTCCAACATCATCTCTACCTGTTTTGCAGTTTATTTCTGTCCTGTACAGGGATATGGGGGAACTGATTGAGGGAATGCGTGCAAGGGCTTTTCTTGATGGTGATGCAGATGCTCATCAAAATAATAGTACAAGCAGCAACAGTGATAGTGGAATTGGAAATTTCAACCAAGAAGAAAAGAGTAATAGGGTTCTGGTGGTTGATTTAGGGACCAATCCGAGTAAACACATTCCTAACAGCCTCTGGGAAAATCCAGTAGGAAGGGGACAAAATCAACCTGCTTCCCATTGGAATGGCTTCTGTCACGAGCAAGAAGGAAGCATTCCTTTAGAGGTAATTCAGAATGATAAGTCCCAGAATGTAAGCAAACACTTAAGTCCTTCTGCTCGTATCGAGGTGCCATTGGTTTCCTCCCGAAATTCAGTACCCCCCTCAAAGAAAAATGCTGCAGGCACAGGCAATCAGAGGTGGTTGCCTGTGCATGTGTTACAAGAGTGGCAGCATGGAAATGCCAGCGACCAGGAATCGTACACGGATTCTACGGACGGCTGGTCAAGTGTTAACTGTGGAACGCTCCCCCCACCAATGAGTAAGATTCCAGCTGACAGATACAGAGTTGAGGGCAGCTTTGGTCAGCCTCAGCTAAAATCTCACAAAAATGAATGGTCTAAGAAGATGTTTTGCATTCAGAACAAATTTGGCCCTCCACACAGTATTAGGAAATCTAAAGAAGATAAAAAGGTAAGAATATGTTGACATTGGTTCCTAAAAATACCCCCAAAAACCCCACCCAAACCCATCAGTCTGTGGTACTTTTACGCCATAATATTTGCATACTAAAATTTAAACATGTATTATATAATTTACAAAATTTCAGATGAAGGAAATAATATGGTTCTTTCTTGTTTGCAGAGGCGTTGCATATTCCTCTTTAATTGAGTGCAGCTCTGCAATTGTACTTCTGCTGGAAGTGTTGTCTGTTAGTGTTTTCTCACATTTCTTCTTGTCTCTTCATTGTTTCCAAATGTTGCAGTGGCATTGCAATGAAAAGAGACATGACAATTTAGCAACTTCAGTTTCTTTTGACCTCCAGCAGCAAAAGAATGGAAACAGTCTGGATCTTTAGTCTGGTTCTTTTTTTGTAGAAAACTGGCTTGCAAATGTTGTTATCTATCTAATCTATAGTATCTATTTTTATAGAGGAGTAGTCTAATCATTAGTCAAAAACATGGGTTATAGACTTTTAGTTTTAACTGAATAAGACTATTTTATTACAGAAATTGACTCCAGCAAACCTCTCAATACAAGTAGCATTACAAACTGACACCAAAAACTATTCCTTAGTGGTAGGTCACAAATCTAACGTTCTGCCAGTAAACCTGTAGTTCAAATTTTATTCCAAATTACTGCTTCATCTACTTGTTTTGTCTACTATTAGACAAAGTGAGGAGATTTAAAAAAAAAAAAAAAAAAAAGGTGTGGGAGGTTATCCAAGTACCCAACATGATTACATGCTGTTCCCTTTGTGACATACACGTTTTGCTGTTGAAGGAACTAATCTCAGGGGAGTCTGTTGTTCATAACTGGGATTTTAGTAATGTGGAGGTCATTGGTCCAACACGAACAGAATTAGTAGCAATGTTGTATCTGAAACATTTGCTGACTCCAGGGAAAGACAGAACCTTATACTCCAAATTAGTCTTCAAGAGGCTTTGTCATTCCATGACAGGAAGTTTTGCTTATGTGATTGATTCAAATGTCCATCACACTGTCCAAATGTGTTTTGAAAAAATGTGGCTTTTTTCACCTGATTTAAAATATACAACTGCTACTCAAGTTGATGGCAGTAGAGGTTCATGAGTTGTTTCATAGTGTTACAAACAAAATCTTTGCAGTGCTGTGACAGTCAGTCAGACATTTTGGGTATTAGATTGCGGAACTTCAGAGTGTTTTGGTGTGAAAAGAGAAGTTATTTTATGTTGTTTTTTCTGCACTGTGAAGCCAAAAACTTGCACATATGTTCTTTTGTATGCTTTCTGGGCTGAAAATAAAAAAAGTAAACCAGTATATATAATAGTTATACACTAGTGTATTGTTAAGGTGAAGTGACTGCTACAGGCAGCAGTTTTCCAGACCCATAATAATGTATTAAATTTCAAGTGATCTTAAATACAAGGTGACTCACACTTTCAAAAGCCAAATAGAAACTATCCAAACAGAATCACTAAATTTGTAAACATTGCCCACCCAAACCAGCTAATAATCAATTCTGTCTGCTCCCCTGAAGATTACATGCTTCATGATCTCTGCTGACGGACCAAGGAGAAGACCTCTTTATAGGCAGCACCTGGTCCAGATACCTTGGTCCCAAGTGCCCTTTGGAAACTAGACCAGCTTCCTTGGATGCTGCTGAAATTCCTTCAGGGTCTCTGTAACAAGTTTGTGTCTGCAGTGTTGTCCGTGATAGTAACATGATTGCATTTTTTGCAGAAAAAAATATTTTGTGGAAATCACGAATATACTAATGAAAATCTCAAAGAAAATGTTACACTTTAAGATGGAAGATGTTCTATATGTGGGCAAAGTGTAACAATATTTCACCTACTGAATCACTCAGATCAGCATAAACCAACACTAAGTATCTCAATCTTCCCTTTTAAATCTATTTACTAATAAAGTAGGCATTCTGTTGTTTGATTAATAACAAATTTGTTTGCAAGAACACATTTAAGATGTTCTTACATGGCTTTAGCATTGAACCTCTTCGTTAAGGCTACAGACCATCTTTTGCATTTTAGTGTTGTTTTCCAGTATTATTGAAGGCTGTTGAAACTGATGAAAAAAGCTCATGAAGGTTATTCGGAGTAAGGCTTAGAGATGAAGTTGTACAATGTTCTCATCTTGAATCTTTAATGAAAATAATCGGGGCATGTACTTTATTGGTGAGTGTACCTCCGTACCTTAGGTACTGCAGAAATAGGGAAAATCTGGTTTTGGATCTTAGAGCACTAGTTCACTTTCGTAAGAGAGGGATATTCAGAAATTCAGGCTCTCTTTTTGCTTTGTGTGAAGAGAAAAGTTAAGAGTGCCTATTCCAAACCCTATTCAGGTGGGTTAGATCCTGTGTTCTAGAAAACTACACGTACTCAGCTTCCTGTGACCTTTTTAAGTGCTAAGGAGTTATTTTACACAGCATGCTGAAACTCATTGCAGTCATGGAATAAAGTATATGAAGTGGCCACGTGGGACTACATTCATATTTTTACAACCTAGTGGCTTAGTCTAAGGCTTCATTTGGCAGAGCAGTCTTTAAATTGCTTTTGATTAAGGTGATTTTTTTGTCTTTTACATCAATACTGAAGGTAATATACCGTGTGAGTGAGACTGTAAGGAAGCCACTAGAGGGAGAAACGGTTACCAAAGCTGGAATTTTTTGTGATGGACTCTGTACTTCCATATAACATACTTGTCTGCCTTGGAGCTTTCATTACTCGAGTTCCTGGATGCACTGCTGCACTAGCAGAACTGCTGTGCAGCTAAACAGTGATGATCACAGCATGTAATTCTGAAAAATACGTTGTATCATACAATACTAGTGGGGGGTAAGATGGGCCTAAACTATTTCCAGATTTTATAGCTGCACTTACAAAACATTTGTGAATTGTACAGCACACAGGAGCAGATGTGAGAAAGCGTTAGTGCACATATCTATTTAAAATTGCACTTTCAGAACTGAGGCTGGGAAGTGTTTCTTGTGGGTAGGAATAGGTATGGCATTTCAGACTTCACAAGGAAGAAGACAAATTTTCTGAGCTTTGTTTTTGCTTTAGTGATGATGATATTTTCAGCTTAAAAAGTGGAATTATGGTTAATTCTGTAATAACTGGCAAAACCACTTTTAAAATATTAATTTTCTTTACAGTACTGTAAAGCATTTTAAAATTCAATAAAAGTGTGAATAGTTGAAACTAGTTAAAAATGCCTAATTTGGTTGCTAATGAATAGCATGAGGTTTTTTGTTTTGCTTTAAAATGTTCTAAGGAAATATCCCTAAATTACTGAACTCATACTTTCACAAAAGCTGTATATCTATTTTTAACTCTTAAATGGTTTTAAAATGGTTTCTTTAATTTTTTTTTTTTTTTTTTTTGCATGTGGGAAGAGGAGAAATTTTAGTTTTAATGCATGTCCTCTGACTGAGATTTACTGGAATCTGTCTGGCCCTGTGCACCCCTGAAATTATTTCCTGTGCCAAACTTCACATTTCTGGTGTTTCTTAAAAGTGTCACGTGAACAGATTTCTATTAAAGCATCTAATGGGAATTTTTTGGAGTCTTCTTGACTTCTGTAGGTGTTAGACTGAAAAAATTAGTGGGAGGCTTGATGATGTTGCTGAAATTCACTGAAAAGGCAGATCATGGAAGGCAAGGTGCCTTTCAATCTGAGAATGACCAAGGAAGATTTCTGGTGACAAGAAGCTTCTGAATTTTTTTAAGACTGATGCTGGGCAGGGGTGTGTAGTCTTGTGAGGTCTATAAGCCTAACAGATGAAGAGCCTGGTTATTGTTTCAGTGGGGATAGAATAATTCCTGCTTTTCTGTTTGTTATTCCATTTGCACTGTGCTGCCTTTGCTGTTGCATTGTTATTTTCACCTTTTTTAGCATCCCGCTGAGTTCCAGCCACTTACCTACTCACTCTTTCTGCATGATTTTTGGGTGACGCAAATGAAAAGCACCATAAGCAATATGAAAACATCAGGGGATGTTAGGATTGGCAGGGGACTTGAGAAATTGCTGAAAAGGGAAGCATTCCTTTCCCTCTAGACTAAATTAATGTAATACGTTTGATTTTGTTCAACCCTCGCTCTCTGTTTTCAGGCTAGTGCCTGGCCAAAAATATGTCTACCCATTACTGTTTTAAATTAAGTTTTACTGGTAAAATACTCCTTTTTCCACTGGAAAGCTCCATAACAGTCAGTTTAGTCTTTGAGTTCTCTCTCCATGAGGACAGAACCCTAGGCACTGACCTCTCACCGTTCTTAAAAAAAAAAAAAAAGTTTGTTTTGATATTGTGGCAGTGAGTATAATATTGAAGATCAAAAGAGGTTTTACAACCTGAGCTTGATAACTAACATTTGGGTAGGTTTATTCCAAGTGAATATGACAAATAGGACAAATTACATTAAAATGTAATTTAAAAGCTTTTCAAAAATTTGGGTATTGATTTTTAGAAACCCTTTCTGTTTCACATTTGTTGCAAGACTTCTTGACCACGTTATTGCTTGTGCTAATGAAAAGTGTGAATTTGTAACTGGATCATATTTGTAGATCTTAAAGGAAGACAAAATAGATGATCTAAATAGATAATCTCATGATCTGAGACTCATTGGACAATAGTACTGCAAATATATATATATTTATACACATATATATATTCTAAACTATAGAATGTATCAACTGCTTTGAACCCTCATAACTTAGCTACTGAAAATATTGTAAAAATGTAGAAGAGAGAAGACAGGTAAGCAATACTGCGTGGTTCACTAATACATCTTTCCTTGCTAATATATTTCCTGGGTAACTATTATATATTATTGTTACTCTGTTTTGATCAGAAGTTTAACTGTAACTACTTCAGAGTTGTCTTTGTTTCCAGAACAAGTGTAATGGAAGAAGAAATGCTGTTAAGCTAAAAATGGATTTTTTTTTGGGGGGTGAAAATTTGTAATTTGCTTCAGATC